CAGTTGTTTCAGTCATGACCAACTCTTCATGACCCCATTTGGAGTTTTCTTGACAAAGATACTAGTATGCCATTTCCCTCTGCAGCTCATTTTACAGATAAGGAAACTGAGGCCAAAAGGGGTAAGTGACTTGCCTGGGGTCATAAAGCTAGTATTTGAGGTTGGATTTGAATTCAGGTCTTTCTGACTCCAGACCCAGCACTCTATCCACTTTGCCAACTAGCTGCCCCAGAACTCATCTAGTCTAACATATTTTACAGGTGAGGAAACTGAAGCCCAGAAAGCAGTATTAACTAATTATATGGTTAATAAATACTTGTTTTATATCCTTTAAAGCTCATCAACTCTGTCATACTTCTTGTCTGTTCATAGTATCTATGTAGTTTTGGACTCACAGTAAATGTTTGATGTGCTGAGGTCAATATGGGGTAGTACAATCCACACTGGATTAGCATCCAGAGGTCCTGAGCTCAAATCCTGACTGTACCACTTACTAGCTGTATCACATTGTGAAAGTCACTTCCTCTGCCCCTCTTGTTCCCTTCATCTGTAAAATGAATGAAGTCAATTAGATGATGTGCAGAGAAGCTGTAGAATAAGTTTGAAGACTTTCCTGATCTCCTTTAACAAAGGTGCCTTCTCTTTATCATTTCCAAGTTATCTTGTGTATGTATTGCTTTCGCTTTTTCTCCCTTATTAGACTGAGCTCCTCGAGAGCAGTGACTGTCTTTTGCATTTCTCTGACTCCTAGCACAGTGCCTGGCACATAGCAGGCACTAATTGACTAAGAGCATTGGCTTTGCAAACAGTGGACCCAGGTTTGAATTGTACTTCTGTCACTTACTACCCATGTGGTCTTGGGTACATCTCTCTAGGTCACAGTTTCCTAATGTATGAAATGAGGTTGGATCCAGGGGTGGAGCACCTGTGGCCTCGAGGCCACATGAGACCTCTAGGTCCTCAAGTGCAGCCCTTTGACTGAATCCAAACTTCACAGAACAAATCCCCTTAATAAAAGGATTTGTTCAGTAAAACTTGACTCAGTCAAAAGGCCTCACCCAAGAACCTAGAAGGCCACGTATGGCCTCAAGGCTATGGGTTCCCCACCCCTGCCACCTCTCTAAGGTCCTTTTCAGCTTCCTTTAAGTCAGCATCTTCTCATGCTAGGGGCCTCCTCCCTTATGCCCTCTGCTGGCAACATTCAAAAAGATTTCCTGGAGGCCCCATACCAAACCCAGTCTATAGGAACCCCCAAAGCTACAGAGATGATAAAAATAACTCACAATTAAAGTTTACAAAGAGCTTTCCTCACAAAATCCAAGAGGGAGAAGGTAAAGAGGTCATTATTATCTCCATTTTACAGCTGAGGAAACTGATGCTCAGAAGGTAAGTGATTTGCGCAGGATAACACATATACAGAGCAAAGATAGATTCCCCCACTGCCCAAACCTAGCTCCTCTTGGACAAAGCCCCAGCACCCAGAGAAGACCAAGAACTGAGAGGGAGGAATAGCTCCCAAAATCCCTTTCTGAGTTACTAAAAATCCTGACCTTCACCTTTGATCGGGGTTGGCCAACTCCATACTCTGAAGAAAAAAAAAAGCTTTGTTTTGAGCCCCCCTGGACTCTCCCCTTTTCTGTATCTTTCCTCCCTCCCCCAATAGGCACCTAAAATCCTAATGCTATCTCCCTCCTTGCCTCAATCCAAAGGAGGAACTCAGTCATATATTAGTTTAAATGAATGATAAGGACTTCTAGCAATCACTCTTTCCAGGGAAATTTGCATCACAACTTAGGACAAAGACATACCAAGTTTAATTCAACAAAATGTTAGTGAAAGCACCTAATACGTATGCAGCCCTGTGTTCGGTGCTAACGATACAAGAACAGGTAAGACCCAGGCCCTGCAACGTGGCAGTTCAAGATCTAGTGGAGATGGGGCCTAGGGAATACTTAGGGATGGAAGGAACCTTAAGAGATCACCAATCTCATTTTATAGGTGTGGTAACTAGTACAAGACTGAAAGATCTGCAGAGGTCTATGAAAAATATGAGAAGGGGTAGATCAGACTGTGAAGAGGGTAGGAGAGGGACTTTCAGGGAAGACCTCATGAAGGAAGTGGCATCTGAGTTAGGCCACGAAGGAAGGATTTCTATCAGCCTTAATAGTGAAATTTCACTTGCCATTGAAAGAACTGAGGGAAGTTTTTGTTATTGTTGTCTTTACCTCAAAAAGAGAGAATCATAGAAAAAAATAATGCAAACCTAATAGGTATCACTGATAGAGCACTGGACTTGAAATCAGAATTAACTCATCTTCCCGAATCGAAATCTGGCCTGAGACACTAGCTAAGTGACCCTGGGCAAGTCACTTAACCCTGTTTGCCTGTTTCCTCATCTGTAAAATGAGCTAGAGAAGGAAATGGCAAAACACACCAGTATCTTTGCCAAGAAAATCCCAAATGGGGTCACCAAGAGTTGGACATGACTGACACTGTTGAGGTCTGAGAGGTTGAGACCCCTCAAGGACCAGAGTATGGGACAGGGTCATCTGGAATGAATTCACAGACTCAAGTATTTTTTAAGTCAAGGTGGCAAAGGTTTATTGTTAAGCTATACAGCAGCAAGGGGTCCTTAAGGAATTCTGCCATGGTGGGCAGACCTCCATAGGAAACTTGCAACCTAACAGGAATGATGCTAAAGCTTATATAGGAAAAGTAGTGAATTATGTGCCAAGTATGCTAATTAGGTGATAACACACAACTACCTCATTCACTACTGGAAACCATGGGGAGAAGAGAGGGTTCCCAGAGGGTATATTTTGGTCTGTTATGTCTGAAACAAGATAGTTTTGGGAGCTGACATCTATAGCTTGACCTCTGGATTGTATACAGTAACTGTGGGAATCAGTACTTGACAGTTCTGTTGAGACAAGATGGTACAAGGGAAATTCTACAGGGGTCAGCTTGTTCTTGTATTATCTCTTGTATGAGAGATAATTCGTCTCACTGGGCCCACTCATGAGTCACTACCAGAGATAGGGTCTTTGGGCTGGAGGGAAACTGTCAGAGATATTGGAGAAATTGGGATCCAAGCACAGGCACCCAAGTACCCCATCAAAACAACCAAACAACAAAATTAGGCATCAGAAGTTCTCAGGAGAGGCAATACCAAAGCTTTCTCTCCTAGCTAGTTCCCAGCACATAGCCTTGTTGGTGGACTGGGCTGGATATCAGAGACCTAAAGGACACACAACTATACAATCTGGAATTTAGATCATAGATCTAGACCTGGAAGTGACCTCAGAGCCCAGCAGTACAACTTGCATTTTAGGGATGAGAAAACTGAGACCCACACAGGCCAGAGACACTAATGATCAGAAATGGGATTTGAAACCAAGGTCTCTGACTCCTGAACTGATAGTTTCCATTGTATCATTGCCAACTCCATTTGAGGGGCTAGGTAGGAAGAAGGATTAAGAGAAATCTGAGCTGATTTAGAACTGGTACCAAAGAAGACCAAGAAAGAACTGAGAGGTTTGTTTTAAGGCAAAACTACCCGTTAATTCAAAAGTGAAATGAGCTGTGAAGGTAGCCAGTTTCAAATCACATGATCTCTTATACAGGCCATTATTTCAGAAGCTCAGGGGAAGGCACACTCTCCCTACCCCAAATCATTCTTACCATCGGGCCTGGAAATTCTATTATAATTTTACCCTAAGGTTCCAACCCATGGAATTGAAAATCCCAGCTGTTATTTCTACTTCAGTGATTCAATTTGTCATATCCTGGGGGTGCCCTAAATATCTGTGGGCAGCAAATAGCTTAATTTTAAAGTTCTTTATATTTTGGCTCCCCAAATCCTCACTAAGTAGCATTTTATAAATAAGTACCTGATATAAAAAATTTAGTCAGAGGATTTCGGTTTGGATCCTAATACCACTTCTATGACCCTGGGTCTCTTCTCTTTAGACTCGTTTCATTTTTCAAATGAGAATGTGGGAGTAGATTTCTGGGGTTCTTTCCAGCTGAATCTTCTGAAAATTGAGTCTCAAAAGGTTAAGTAACTTGCATGGGGACAGAGCTGAAAGCTGGTAGACAGGAGGCCAGGTCTTTCCATAGATGACATTTTTCATTCCATGGAGCAAGGATGCACAAGATCAACCTCAAATCCTAGCTTTTACCACCTGTGACCTAAGGTTGTATCACAACCTCTCTGAGCCTACTTCTCATTTCTTAAATGAGGGAGTTGGACTACATGATCACCAGTCACTCCCATCTCTAAATCTAGGATTCCAAATCTTCCCATTACCCATCTCTCAATACATGAGTCAACCACAATAGCTAGTCTGTTCAGGGTTTCCTTTCCCCCCAACTGGACTGTGAGAAAGCCTGATTTGTCTCCCTGCTACCCCTCTCTCATAGCACATCAGGTCCTTGAAGGCAGAGGCTTTGTTACTTTTCTAACCCCAGCACGGGGCACAGTACACAGTACTAAATATGTTAGATTGATATTCCTAAAGCATAAACGTGGCCAACTATACTCTTCTGCTCAAAAAGCCTGTTCCCAAAAGCCAACTCACTTGGTATCCAAGACCTTCACATTCCACCAGATTATCACTTCTCCCTCTCAAGACCAAGCTCATCTACAGCACCTCCTTCTCCAAGTGGCCTTTTCCCAATGTGTCCCCCCCACCCCTGAATTTACTGTGTTTTTATCTTGCATTTATTAAGTTGCATCCTCAACTTCAAAGTAATTGTATTTGCCAGGCACATAGAGATCACTACTTATTGCTCCAGAACAGAAATTTACCTTCTCTGTAATATATCCTCATTCCTTACTTCTGCCCTTTGGATATTCAAACGCTCAGGAAGCTGGCTATCATATAACCTCCCCATCCTCCGTGACCTACTGGCTCTGATCATTCCATGCCATAAATATCAACTGCAATAATCACCATCTTGACATATTCCAGGGAGCAGAAGTGAAATTGAGAGAGCAGTATTTTTGTAAAAATAAGGTTTATTAAGCATCATTTAATGGTTCTGAAGACCCAAGAGGTGACTCTTGACATCTTGAAGAAGCTCCATTCTCCATATTCCCCCTGTCCCCTTCACAAAGCTGATGAAAGGCCTAAACCTAAAGATTAGAGAATTCAAAATGAGTTACAGACAAGGCTTTGTTTTCACATAAACATTTCAAACATTTACTTTCCCAGTCTAACCTATTAATATCTGAGATTTCTATAACCTTACTCCAAAGTCACAGCAGAGTGAGGCCTCAAACCATCTCAGGGTTACTCTAGCAAGTCTTTAGGAATGTCTGGAGTCATAGAGGACACCAACATGCTGGAAAGCTTGCATACAGAGGAAGCAGTACAACCTATAGGATAGAGTTCCATCCAGCTATCCTGAGGTAGAGGTCATCTTTAAAATAGGAAGGCACAGGATGGATTGAATGTCACTCATTTTTACAGTATAAGAAAACTTAAGCAGCCAGGGAAGGGCTAAGAGTGCCAGCCAGGTCTACTATACCTGGCTCCATTATTCTCCCAGAATGACAACACAACACTGGCACTCATCCAATTTCTTTCCCCTTCAAAAAGCAGTAAGGGTCATAATGGGAATGGCAATTTTTAAAAGGATGTAGCAAGTTTAAACATGGACAAAGGAGGCCTTAGGAAGCTGAGAAGCAATTGATCTAGGTGATTTGGCCACAAGTTCACTAGCAAATTTTACACCTACCAGTCCATTAAAGAAAGTCACAATTGCTGGGAGCCAGTCAATGATCACCACCTGAAACTAAAGAAAGCAGAAATTTGAGACAGAAGCTGTAGCCCATTAGGAAGGGCAATTTATTTACCCCAATAACATAAAGAGGTTAGTTATCAGAGCCCCAAGAATCAAAGCCGAATGAATCCTGCCCACTAAGCCTCTATCAGAACTCTCTAACACAAAGCTTGTCTCATTGCTCCAACACCATAATCAGAAACAGGGTAGGGCCTTAAAACAGTTCAAAAACGTTACTGGGAATGCATGAGGTTACTACAGACTCAGACATGAGGAATGGCTGTTAACAAGATCAAAATTTCAAAACCAAACACTACGATATTTATGTAGTAACTAATTACTATGCCAGACACAATATACTCTTAAATGTACTTACCTATTTGCTTTAGTAGGCCCATGCAAGAAGAGGCAGGTTCAGCCTATTCCTGCGAGGAAAGAGTGGAAAACTGCAAGGTAGAGAACACCAGATTAAGGGCAAAAAGCCTAGGGTTCGACTCCTAACTCCCTCACCCTAATTCTGTTATTCTCAATGTGTGACCTTAGAAAAGAGGTTATTTAAACTACTCCGGAGGGCTCAGTTGTTTCATGTTAACAATCTCCTCATGTTAAAGCTCAAATGTTAATCATCACCTTGTTCAACTCCTTTGTTTTGTGTATAATGAGTGGAGTCTGGGTGAGAAGTTTAACTCCTAATACTTTTCTCTATTAAGGACTTTTAGTCTTAACACCAGAAACTGTATTTACAAAAGTGGAGAGGGAGATTAGTTCTGATCCACATTTCTTTATCTCCTGTTTCTTATATTTCTCCTAGTAATCTATAGTCCCATAGCTGTTATCAAGTCTTAGAACTTCAGGGGATTTTCAAGTAAAAGGGTCCTTAGGGGATCTTGGAAATCCAACTCTCTCATTTTACTGGTAAAAAACCCAAATCTTACAGTGTGTCTTATGAGTGCTTGCATGCCTTACCCAAAGTCACTGAAGAAAACAGCCTGGGAATTGAACCCAGGTCTCTTTCTCCAAGTCCAGGGCTCTTTCCAAAGGGTGTACCTTGCACAAGCTATCTTGCACATTTCCCAAGTCCTGAGTGGTTTTCACCGGCTGTCCCCATGTCTTAAACTTTTTCCCTCCTCCATCTCCGCCTCCTGGCTTCCCTCAAGTCTCAGCCAAAGTTCTGCTTTTGCAAAAATCCTTTTCCATTCCTCCTCCTTCCTTCTGACAGTACTCTGGGTTCACGCTGTCTATATCTTGTTTGTATACTGCTGTCGGCATACTACATCCCCCATCGTACTTGAGAGCTCCTTGGGAAAGGGCTTGAGTTTTTTTGCCACTTTATTGTTTCCCCAGCGGTTAGCACCAAGTCTGGGCCATAGCGGGGGCTACAGGGATGGGGAGGGGGCGGTCAGTAAGGAAACGTGTCCAGAGCAGAGACTAGACTATGGATGCTAAATGTGGTTGGCCGGGGCCGTCCCTCACCCATTCATCTTACAGAAGATGGTCCTTCACGTGGCAGGCCTCAGCTTCACCCACGAGGTTCCCTCCATCCCTGGCCTCTTCCACTAGGGAGAGAACAGTGCCAGCAAAGTGGAGGTGGGGGTGTTGGTGAGCTCCCAAGCCGGCTGGCCATGGGGTCCCAGTCACGTGCTCCCACAGCCCGGCAAGGCAACATTTTTCTTCTGCCTCCCGCTCACCGCCCTCAAGGCGGGACTCCCGCAAGGCCAGAGCCCCGCAAACCTTCCGTGATGAAACCTCCCGGCCCTCACGGTCCTTACCTGTCCATAGCCACCGGCTGGAAGTCTCCAAGGCCCAGGATGGCCTTGGATAGGGTCAACGCCAGATCCTCTGGAGGGCAAAGAAGCAGCCACCATCGCCGCCATAGCTTAAAAAGATTGGCCACGCCCCTAGGCGTCTTACGTAGCCCCGCAGTCCCCGCCCCCTTCTGGGTGGGCCGGAAGAAGGAGAGGCGGGCTGCCACGTGGTTTCTGCTCCACCCTCCTGTGCCCCGTGACCTGGCCTAGCGTTTTGTCCATCTATCCCGTAACTTAAAAAATACCTGAGTCCGGGGCCCTGGGCCCCGCGTTGTTTTTCAGAGACTGGTTTTTTCCCCTCTTTTTTCTCTTTTCTTTCCTTTCCTTTTTTCACTTTTCTTTCTTTTTCTTTTCTCACTTCTCTCTCCATTGAGAAATTTTAAGAAAGCAAAATCCTTGTTACCCATAAGCATAATGAAAGGAAACAAAAGAAAAGCTACACTGACCATTTCAAACAATGCATTTGGAAGACTGAGTTTTCTTAAGGAGGTCATAGCTGACAGGGTGTTTTGCTGGGAAGAGTGCCAGATGGGGAATCTGAGGGTCTGAGTTGTTATTCTGACTTTCCCTTTAACCAAACATTTCCTCTTTCTAGGTCTCAGTTCCTCTTCTTTTTAAAATCAAAGGGTTATATCGATGATCTTTAAAGTCAATGAGGTTATAAGCCTTTGATCAAGTATTAGACTATTCCTAGTAAATTTCCTCCTTCAAAGGGAGGAAGCTCTTTTGAAAGATAATAGGCACACTTTTGTTGCAACAGGTAGAATTTTGGAACCCAGCACTAGTACCCAAGAGAAGTGAAAAAATCTAGAGGAAGGCCTTCACAGAGGATCTATAGGAAAACCTAGGAGTCATCCTATATTGTTCCCTATCTCTCACCCTGCATTTCCAATTTGTTGCCAAGGTCTGTTGATTTCACCTTTGCAGTATCTCTCATGTATGTCCCCTTGTCTCTTCTGACATTGCCACCACTCTAATGCAGGCCTCCAGCACTTTAAACCTGCACCACTGTACTAGCTAACTGGTGGATCTGCCTACCCTGAGTCCCTCCTCACACCAATGCGTTTGGCCACTGAAATGATTCTTCTAAAGTGCAAGTCTGATCATGTGACCCACCCTACTTAAACTCCAGTGGCTTCCTATTGCTTTCAGGAACAAATACAAAATGCTCTGTTTGGCATCCAAAGCTCTTTATAACTTAACCCCGTCCTACCTTTCTCTACTTGCACCCTACTCCCTAATATGCACTCTTCAGTTTAGTGACATTGGCTTCCTCTCTACTCCATGAACAAGGCATTCCATCCAGGCTTTCTCTCAGGCAGTCCCCATTCCTGGTAAGCTCTCCCTTCTCTACTCTGACTATTGACCTCCCTGGCTTCCTTATGTCCCAACTAAAATCTGACCTCCCACAGAAAGCCTTCCCTAACCTCTCTTAATTCCAGTGCTTTCATTCTTTTAATTATTTCTTATTTATCCTGTATATAACTTGCTTTGTACACATGTGTTTGCATGTTGTCTCCCCTGTCAAATTGTGTGCTCTTTGAATTCAGGGACTGTCTTTTTCTTCCTCTTGTATCACCAGCACTTACCACAGGGCATGTCACATAATGGGTACTTGTACAGTCATTTCAGTTGTGTCCAACTTTCATGACCCCATTTGGGGTTTTCTTGGCAAAGATACTAGAATGGTTTGCCATTTTCTTCTCCAGCTCATTTTGCAAATGAGGAGATTGAGGCAAACAGGGTTAAGTGACTTGCCCAGGGTCACACAGCTAGGAAGCATCTGAGGCCAGATTTGAATGCATGATGATGAGTCTTCCTAATTCCAAGCCCAGTGCTCTATCTTCTTCTACACCTAGCTGCCCCTAGTATGTATTAATAAATGTCTATTGATTGATTAATCAGATAAATAAATGTAGGATATATACGATATATAATGATGGGGAGGGGCACTAATAAATGGGATATCAGAAAAAGCTATTTGAAGGAAATGAATGCGAACTTGCTTAGTAAATGAAAAGTTAGATATTTTCTTGCCAGAGTAATAGTTCCTGCACTCAACCATGCTTATACATAGAGGAGGCAATAAGTGAATGTTGATGATAATTAAGCTGCCCAATTGATATTCCTACAGCCGTGGTCTGACCCTGTTAAACCTCTGCTCAAAAACTTCAGTGCTGCCCAGTAGGCTCCAGAATAAAAACACATGCTCCTTGGCTTGGCATTTAAAGCTAGTCACAATCTGGCTCCAGTGCGTCTCTTCAGACTTATAAGACATTACTTCACGTCCTTACCAGCAGCTCCAAACAGAAGTCATTGACTTTCTGGCCTGTCACAACCCACTTGGACTCCACCCTGAGAAGCACCCTGGGCTGTGACCGGGCAACCTTTCCCCTTTTGCCTTGAACCAAGCTATTTCCAGGCCACCAGCTTCAACAATTCAATTTCTACTTCTGCCTTTTATCCCTATCTGCTGGGAAACAAGTGCTCCACCCTGAGACACTTCTCCCCCTTCTAGCTCTGCTTTATGTATTGTTTTCTCTCCTTACAACATAATCTCCTTGAGGGGAAGCATTGTTTCTTAATTGTTTTTGCGTTCCCAGTGTTCAGTGGTCAAGTCAAGTGATCAAGTTAACAAGCATTTATTAAGTCTCTACTAAGTGCCAAGCAAAGAGATATAACAAAAGACAAAAATCAGAGTTAGTGGGCATGGCCTGGATGAAGATCCAGCAAAGGACACTGAGGAGCAGACAGACAGGTAGGAACAGAACTAAGAGACAGTAGTGTCCCAAAGACCTAGAGAGAAGATAGAAGAAGGTGATGGACAGTGTCAAGACTTCAGAGAGGTCAAGAAGGATGAGGATGGAGAAAAGGCCATTGGAGTTTAGAAGACACATGGGCATGTTGTAGGCAGTAGGGAAAAAGCTATTTACTGGTCAGGAAGAGACTGATGATACAGTTATCACTCCACATTTTGAGGGTTAGGGGCATGGCACCCTCCAGAGCTGGAAAATCCTGGTAAAATTTTTTGGCTTTCCCTTTCTACCAGAGAAGAAGTCTGAATTTTTTTTCTTTTTCTTTCATGAGGTATTTACAGTACCACTATTGTAAAATTTGGGTTGTCATAGTCTATAAAATGTGGGTTGTCATAGTCTATATTATACAATACTATATGTATATTTTATACATTTCTGAATTTCTTAACTTTTTCTGTGACATCTCCTGGCCTTCATGTATCATCTGCTCAGCTTCTGCAAAACTCCCCAAAAATGCACGTTTAATTTCTTATGCTGACTTTTGATACATCGAAACCTTAATTGGGGAAAATCCCGATGTGGCAGGGATAACTGTATGTGAAAAAAATGGGAATCAAAGAGGAGATAATTTGCTGGAGGAAACAGGATGAAATAGTATCACTTGTGTGTGTAGAGGGGATGGTCTTGGCAAGAAGCGCTGTCTCATCGCGTGAGATGGGGTAAAGGAGAAGATAGTGGTAGAAAACATCTGGGTGATATGAGATAAAGAGGAGGGGAGAAGAGTGAGCTCTTGGCTAATGGCCTCAGTTTTTTTAGAGGCAAGTTTCTCAGTTGAGAGGGTAGAAGGAGGTGGAGCCATAGGAGATTTGAGGAGGAATGAAAAGGTTTAGAAGATCCCTGTGAAGAGTAGTATAATGAATCAGGGAGGTATAAAAGTATTGTTTAGCAGCAGTTAGGGCCCTGTTAAAGTTCTATAATATACATTTGTAGTGGACCCCAGCAGTATCGGGGTTTTTTTTGTGATTTTCTCCAGCTTCATTCAAAGTATGTGTGTAGGAGCCAAGGCAGCAGGTGGTGGGAATGATTCAAGGCTGAGGCCTGGCCAGGCATAATCGTTGATATGATAATGGGGCAAGGAACTCAAGAGAAGAGGACAGGATTCTGTTGAACTGATTCACCAAGGGGTCAAGGTGGGAAAAGGAGGAGAGTGTGGTTAGGGTAGTGGTATAAGAAGGCAGAGGGAGGGATGGAAAACGAATAGATTGTGATCAGATAAAGGAATTTCAGAGTTCTCGGTCATGGAAGTGGTACATTTGTAGTTGATGACAAGATTAAGGTTATGACCATCTTTGTATATGGCTGAGGTGAGGTGGAGGAGTAGGCCATGGGAAATAAGTAAGTTGAAAAACTGAGAGGTTAGGGTATTTGAGGGGGTATCAATATGTACATTGAAGTCCCCTAGTATGAGGGCAGGGGTTGGGGAGGAGAGGAATATTTTGAGCCAGGTACTAAACTCTTTGAGGAAGGAAGGGGAGTGTCCTGGAGGTCTGTAGACAAGAGCTACAAGGATTTTGATCTGAGCCTTGAAGGATAAGTAGACTAGAACCCAGGATCTTGAGTTCTAGTATAGTCTTCTTTCTAATTCAATTCTACAGACGTTTATTAAATGCCCAATATTTGCAAAGCACTGTATTAAAGGGTACAAAAATAAAAACTTTCTGTCCTGAAGGAACTTGTGATATGCTGACAGCCCAGAGGATAAAGAGCACCTTAACTGGAGTCAGGAAGAATGGAGTTCAGTTCTGGCCTAGATAACTAAGCTAGTTGTGTGACCCTGGGCAAGACACTTAACCTGTCTGCCTCAGTTTCCTCATCTGTAAAATAGAGATAACAATAGCATTTACTTCCCAGGTTGTTGTGAGGATCAAATGAAATATTTGTTAAATCATTTTGCAAATCTTAAAGGGCTGCATAAATGCTAGCCATTATTAATATGTAAAGGATGGGATGTGTGTGTGTGTGTGTGTGTGTGTGTGTGTGTGTGTGTCTAATTTGAAGAGGGAGACAGCAGGAAAAAAGGTTGTGGGGGATGGGAACAGGGACATCGGGAAAAGCTCCCGGTAAAAAGTGTGCCCAAAGGGTGTCCTCCCCAGGTTCTTTGAAACTCAGTATTCTGTGGATCTCCAAAGTTAAGCGCCCGCCAGCCATTTAGGCACGTTCGAAGATGCTCGGCTGCACGACCTGCCTCTTTCTCCGTCTACTGCCGACCCACTTCCTCACAACCACTTCCTTGTCGGGGAGTGAAACACTGGGGATCCAGCGGCAATTCCCCCAACATCAAACCC